TCGACAGAAACAGCAAATGTTGAAAGTAGTGGCGGCGGTTGTGTGAATCCACAACACCAACGTTAAGTCGGACAAAACGCTGGGAACTACTGGCTGAATAAGAAATCTGATAAAGATCCACACAGGGTCTATCACAAGCAGTCTGTTCCTCTCTTCCTTTCCCACTCCCATCGTCCTTCCTTGCCGCATGTGTTGAGAGGGGTAACAGTCAGCCTTTGTCCACGTTAAGGGGAAAAAATTACCAAATTTAGGAGGAAGAAAGAGAATGCATTCATAAACGTTAATTAATTTTTCTCTTTCTTCAGAAGAAATGAATATTATTCCAAACTGAGAATTGATTAAAAGCTAATGAAATGAACGAATACGTAAACGATTATAATCCAGTCATTAATTTTCGCGTGATTTCATTAGCTGCTTTACGTCACGAGGTACAAAATCACCGCCCAGTTATTAGGCAATAACCACCGTTTACGTCGATATTTGTCCTCCGATTATTTGCGTCGAAAGGAAACGAAGCCAGCGGAAAATAACCGGCTCAAACGTTTCACTTTTCCATCTCTATTACTTTACATGGAAGAAGGTAGAGTCCAGTGATAGTGACGTTAAAAAGCTTATCTCAAAGGCTGCTCATGAAAACACAAAAAAAGTTTAAAAAAATTGCTGTCGACGCGCGTTATGAAAATTAATGAGAGGGTTACAAAACAATTGAATCCTCTTCTGGGCTTCCTGGTATGTCAGCTGATAATGTCCCTGGCTGATAGATTGTCCATAGATTTCACAATTTTCCGCAAAGCTTCGTTTCTCGGCTAAAAAATTCATTTCTCGGACAATACCTCAGCCGCGGACATAGTTAGCCGACATACCAGCTGCCCAAAATGAATTAATTAACATTGACAATTAATAGAAGGGACGATTGAAATCAAATAGTTAATGCCCAAAGTAAATAAGTCGATTGGAGTAAGGACTATATGCAATTACCATCTCGGGGTCCCGCCAGCTATAAGGTTCCACTTCTATTTAATTCCCTTGTTATCAAAACTTCCAAGGGTCTGGCTTACGCTAGTAAAATTACAGCAGACGTCAACAATATGTTGTTGTGTGTGCATGTCCATGAGTTTCTTTTTAAACTCAAATTGAGAACGAAACGCGGGGTCGGCAAATTCACAGGAAGTCTTTATTGCGTTGAAAAAGGAAATGAAGTAGCAATTATTTCCTCTGTGTGGCTTGTGAGTTGCAAGAACATTATCTTTATTTTTCATCTGTTGCATCCTGATTATCGGTTTATTGATCAATTCTCAACCAAGTAACCGGGCCCTAGAAATTCACATGCACCGTAAACAGAGAGTTGCCTCGGAGAGCTTGAGGTGGTCTAAAAATTTCAATTTGAATAATATAGCTGATCCTCAATTCGTGCTGTGAGTGTTTGAACAACACTTTATATGCCCCATAGAAAATTAGCGTTTACAATTTCTCTGAGAGAAGCGACTTAGCTGCTTCTATCGCTGAGTCAAACTAGCGACGGGTTCAAGGTAGAGGATCCAATGTTTTCAGTCCTAGGATATTTGTTGATTTTACGACCAAATCAGTGACCCATAGCTTGAGAGGTTTTAAATCAATCAGAACGAAAAAACGGAAGATAAATCAAGTTCTACTGATTGTATGTAATTTTCCACGATTTTGTGCCTTGATAACAGCCCACTTCATGAAAGGGTTCGGTCTTTCCTTCATGAACTCAACCGAGTTAAAACTAAGAACTGAGTTCAGGGACGAAACTATTTACCGGAATAATTTACTAGACTGAATATATGACCAGAGCTCAAAATGACAGGTGTTTCTGGGGAAAATAAAGAATTCTTGTCGAGTAAAACTTGTATGATATAACGAGACAAAAAATGATTTTTAACCAAAGTCTTTTTTTTATTTACAGAAAATGAGAATTCTGAAAACATGAACGTGTGTATATTCCGTTATGTTTATACAGGTCGATCAGGTTTCTTCGGATTAAGTGGAGCACTGTTCCGTTTGAATTTCCTTCATTCCTTTTTTTCTTGACTTGCCAAGTTGCCATTCGTCTCACTATTTCGTGTTATTCGGTCATTTTGGTTTCTTTCCGATGTAAAACCAATTTCAGGTGAAATATCCGAATGAAGACAGGGGAGCCGTCGGAACGCACGACGACAGGCTCGACGAAAGTCACCATTTCGGAAAAAATATATCAGTGGGTTAATCGCTGACGATGTAAAAGCGATTGCGTCAACCCAGGGCCATGCAACAAGAAGCAATTCAAGCATTTCACTATTGGCTTTGGTTAGGATGTAATAACAGTCAACTATCATTAGAACTAAACTGGGCATCCACGTGAATATACAAGCACCCAAAACAAAACCTACTGTTTTGATAGCTTTAAAATTGTGCACAGCAAGAACTCTAATATTTTCGTCGCAGTTTCGGGGATTTTCCTGGGTGATTATTCGTTTGAACTGTTTTCTGGCAGCCTTGAAAATACTAACATAGCAAAAAGATACAACTAATAATGATACAACATAGATGATGCATGTTAAATATAAAAACATCGCTTTTTTTAAACCATCCAGAAATAATGTTGAAAAAGAAAGCCCCAGTGAACTAAACCAAACCAAAATGATGACTGCATAACATCTTTTCTTAGTCACAATGTCCACGTAACGGAAAGGAAACCGAATGGCAATAAACCGGTCGATTGAAACACAGCAAATGTTGAAAGTAGTGGCGGCGGTTGCGTGAATCCACAATACTACTATAACTTCCATCAACAAGGTGTGAAGCGATGGCCGAATCAAACATCTGGTAGCGAGCCACACAGGGTCTACAAAAATCTCGACCGAAAAGTCTGCAACGGACAGTGACGCTAAAAAGCTGTTGGAAATTGTTCGTAAAGACTCGTCTTTGAAGAACAGCCACAATACGATTGCGTTTCCAGTTACAGCTACAAAGCTTGACAAGGAAAACCACACTGATAAACAGATGGACGCTGCACTGCTGAGATGTTCGTCTGGATGGCTATCATTCATAGTAAGATGATGTACAGCTGCAGCAAAAAAAAAGAAAGTGAACTTGGGAATGCTTAAAATTTTCTTTTCCTCTCTACTAACAAATGTTATTGAAACTGAACTGATTTTGCATGAATCATCATATTCCTTTTATGCAGTTATGCTTTTTATTGACAGGCACGTCGTTTTTATCTGAAGTCTGAAAACGGAGAACGGTAAAAGGTGTGAGATGGATACGACAATAGCTCTCTGGGAAATGTTTCGAAATTCTTGTTTATATCTCAGTCTAACCTTGCCTTTCAGCAACGATAAAAAGGGAACTCGTTTGATTTCTTTTAAATTCAAAAGCCTAGCAATAACTGACAACAAAGTTTTTCTAACATACAGCTGCTTCAGTGACAGAAAGTTGTTTGACAAAGTTCCTAATTCCGGATACCCATCTTTAACGGCTCCTGATTAACAGTAAATGTAGTTTAACGCTAGTGTCAAATATGACCATCTTCGTGGCTCACCCGGCAAGGACTTGACTCCTAGCGGGCAAAATAAAGAAGATGACGACCACCTTTTCTCGTTCATTGCCTTTCTTTGCCACGCATGTTGCAAGGGGGAAGAGTCAGCCTTTGCCAACCTCAAGTGCAACAGTTTACGAAAATTATACGGATAAAAGTTTTTCAATCGCAAAAATAACGTTATGTTGCCAGAAACCTCTCTCTTTAGCAAGGTGGTCAAAAATGACGAGAAAAAAAAACAAAACAAAACAAAAACGAACATCATTAAATCCATCAATAAATGATATAAAGACATAAAGAGATCGGACAAGGTACATTACAATTCTCATTCCGGGGTTCCTCAACCAGAGAAATCAGTCCTGTTTCCATTGAGTCTCTTGTAATCAAATCTTCCTTGGGTCTGGTTTACGCTGGTAATATAAAATTTTGACAAAGTGATTTCATATGCTAATATCCTTCTGTTTGTTTTACTGTTTAATTGCAGACAGAGGACAAAACACGGCGACGGGATGTTCAAAGGAAGTCATCATCGGTGTTGTAGATATGAAATCAATTAGGAATTCTTACTCTTCTGTATTAAGAGTTACAAAAAAATGTGTTTTAAATACGTCGATCTAATGCATTTATTGGCCAGTTTTCATGCACCAAGTGACCGGAACGAGATAGTTACGAGCACTGTAAACAGACCTTAATGGTGGCACGTAAATGTTATATTTGAACGACATAGGTGGTCCTCAACTCGTGCTGTGAGTGCCTGAGGGACTTCAATTTATCCTGACAAAATGTTATAAACACGGAACTCTTAACATGCTTCATAGAAAATTAGCAGTAAAATTTTTCTCTGAGAGAAACGAACACGCTGTTCTTACTGCTGATCCAAACAAGGAACGGGCTCAATGTAGAGGTTCTGAAGTTTGCCACTCCTAGAATATTTATTAATCTTATGACGAACTGACCCGTAGTCGTCAGTTGTTTGTCACCTGCTAAAACTGAAAGACAAGAACTGTCATGAGAACAGAAAGCTCCTAGCAAAGCTTCAAATAAGAGCATGGCATATAAATTAAATATCAAGTCGTAAATTTTATGTGCAAATAAGCATAAAACAACATAACTGTCGGTAATCGTTCAGGATAAAAGAGAAAAATGTACCGTACAGTTTAACAATTTGTCAAATGTTTTCACCAATTTTACTGTTGCTGGATGTTTCTGAGAAGCAAGCGAGTCGAAACAGTTTCAAAATACAAGCTCTATGCATGTAGACTAATCGTTAAATACAGTCATAGTAATTCGCAAATGAATTTTTTTGCGCGTTGCATTGTGATATGCAATATCCATACTGTTTTGATCAAATTCGCCGCATCTTTGATTACATAAACGACAGTCACGCTTTGTAAGGGACTCACTAAAGGGAAAATTTTAAAGTCAAATCTTTACATTTGTTTTAAATTTTAATGCGAAGGACTGATCCACATCGCAAGCGGGGTCTTAAGTGTTTACCGCGGTTGACCGGGCGAATATTGTAAAAGTTCGAGGAAGAAAATTCTTCCATCGCGTTTTACGGACCTTCCACAGTCACTCTTCAATTACAAGTCTTCTTTTGCATTGAATCACCATGACTGTTGGCTGCTTGAATTCTACACTGTTTTCTTGCTGATTTGAAAGTACATATATATGAAAGTGAGA